AGCCGGGATGCCAGATTGGGCCCAGAGTTATGCGATGCAGGGGAGAGATTACAACGAATCACAAAGCCCTATTCAGTCTAAAGAGGACTCTTAGGGAAGCACTCTCTCAATGCTTTTTTAATTAGAGTAACTTCTCAGAGCAAACACACACACACACGTTAACAAGTCTCACATTCTCCACGTTTTCATCAAACTTGTTACTTGCTTTTTTGTAATTTGCATCTGAAAGTGTTTTGTTCTGCACTTCACCTTAACAGCTACGGGCGTGAGCGCGGATGTCTCCGCATGGACGGGTGCAACCCTGTATCAGAAGCTGTATCTGTGTTTGTGTGTCAGCGGCGTATTGCCGGGGCTTAGGGCGGCGCCCGCATTCATTACATCACCGCTCAGAGCATAAGGCCTTGAACAGAGAGCGCTGCGACTACCTGCTATGTGACACATAGCATGGCGCTGTTCAGACCCTGAGGTCATTTTCGCAGTCCCACGTGTGCATCCATGTGCATTGTGTGTGTCACAGACCCAGGCCTTGTAAAACTGTGCTGGTAATGCATGCCATTCTTTTTATTTGCATGCATGTGTGTGGCTGCCACATCACAAAACACGGTCGGGGTGTGTAGGTTTACAAACTGTAATGCAGATTACAGGGCCTGGCAGAGCAACCGAGCTTCCAACGTCTCATTACGCAGACAGCATTGTATACAGCTTTTAGTTCTATTACAGGCCACAACTGAGGCAGGCTGAGGGCAGCGACCGAAGTGTGCCGGCGTATACAAGTTTAATGCAACCCCGCCATGATGTCCCTGTGCAACCATCATTCACCACACACACACACACACACACACACAGCGTCAAGCCAATGAGAGAGGTAATTTTACCTGGGTAAGCAGATACCTTCGACCCTCATCCATCACCGCAGACCTGAAGGTGCAGCTCTTAGGTAAATGTCTCCCATGCAACGACATTGCAAGGAACGCCTTACTGTGGCAGGAATACTGCAGGAATACGCTCTCATTAGGGTGTGGCACGGCAAATGTCAAAACACACTGAAATGGGGTTAGAGACATTTCGATGGTTATCTAATTCTGACAATGGCCTGATGTCATAAAAAAAATAATAAAATTTTGTTGAGGTGTCAAATTTGTCAACAAAACATGGCAACTCGAGAACAATTTCCTTTCACACTTCAAAATAAGAGTCTCAGCCATACGGTTTCAAGGCCATCCAATTAAATAGCTTATACCTGCTTTGTCACTCTAAGTCACCCTAATAACAGCGTACTTTATCTCTTTGGGATATTTTGACCACTTTTCTCTCCTACTTTTTGTTGGGCTCGCTTTTTAACTTGCTGCAGATGATCCTGTTTCATGAAGCACATTTAAACAGATTTTTGTCCACTTGTACCAACAAGAAGGCCAGATGCAAATCAAATAGACATCATAGGCAGTTGACCGAATTCCTCCAGCTTTTCTTTATAAGGTCGGTGATAATGTTTTGTTTCATTGGACATGCAGGATGTTTGAAGTGGTGGAAGAGCAGCTGGATCGCATCACCCTGGACTGAGGGAGTGGGTCTCTGTTTACACTGAGATACACAGTTAATTTCCCCCTCAGGACAGTTCGAGTGCATGTGTGTGTGTCTTCTTATGTAACATGGATTAACAAATACACCTGTTGAACTCTGCTTATTCTTCCCCACTGCATCTCTCTGTGTGGAAAGGACAGACAACCCAATGGCAGAACAACCTGGGAGTTTAATCAGTCTTCAGCAAATTAATCGTAAATCCTCTGACGATTTCTGCATGTTACAACTCAATGAAGTGCTGCTTCATCTTCTGCTTCTCTGGGTCTCTTGTGCCTTCACAAACTCTGATGTTTATCTTATGCGGCTCGGGGCATCTTACGGGAATTATCACAACATCTACAATCGGCAGTAAATTTAGCAGCAGTGATTTATCTCGGTGCCTCCATTTGGCCCCCTGCTGGGCCCGCGGTGGCAGTGCGTGTCTTTGAAGCGCACACCTTGGAGGGTGTGCATAAAGGGCACGCTTGCAGAAGCTGTGACTGGGTGGATAATTTTCTCTGCTGCTGGAGATTAGCCTTTTGGATTCCATCCCCTTTGAGGTTCACTGAAAACGCTCTGTGTTGAGATTAGACCCATGTTTCCGGCAACGCCGGCGCCAGTCGCCTGTTTGTGCCGCAGCATGTCGAGGGGATTAAGTGACACCTTATATTCACATCTTCATGTTCGAGCCCAGCTTAGGCAGTAAACCCAGACGCAACACTGAGGTTTGCACTGCTGCTTCGGAGGACTGGGAGTCAGGAATATACCTCAAACGTAGAGAAAAATGCAAAAACTTTCTTTGAAACTTTATTTCCTATGAGACACCAAAGGACATGTGCAAGCTATTTTTCATCCATACAAAAACATCCAGGATTCTGCATCAGGAGCAGTTTTATTAATGAATGTAACACAAAGGGAATTCTCCCACCACTGTCAGCTTTTTATGTTTATTTGGTTTTAGAGGAAGGCAAGAATATTTTTGCAATCTGGAAAGTAATAAAATAGATAAATACATAATCTATTCCATGACTAGAATATACTAGAAGTTGTGGTTGTTGCATGAAGAAAATGTAAAGTCTACATATTTCTTTTAATCCGTTAATGAATCAAACCATTCCCCACTCTTTTTCTGGTTTAACAGCAACCTGAACTGCTATGGCGATGGCAGCGCTTTGCCACTAGATGGGAGTACTGAGCTGACTGGTTGATTTTCAGAGCTCCTCTGTAAAGACATGGATCAAGGTCAAATGTTGCAAAGGTAACAGAATGACGGGCAGAAATGATGATTGCTTTATCTTCCAACAAGTCTTCCCACGCCGTTTACGTCGACCGCATTGGAAGGACGCAGAAACAGAAGCAGAGCATCGTTCACGGCTTCTGACGGTAACCCTGACAACCAGTTTCCCTGACAGCAACGTGTCTCCACACCAGAGTCCTTTAATGTGTCCACACACACACGCGCATGCACACACGCTGTTGTTCACCTGCGAGTTTCTTGCACCTGTCAAATGGTGACGTGTGTCATAGACTTTGATGGTTTCCCCGTTGACATGGATCTGGGGCGTGTTACGCAGTGCGCTCTGTCTGAGACGGTTCTCTACCAGCACCAGTGTGCTGGGCGCGGTTCTGCTGGGGCCGCATTAAGAGGCCGCATGATAGCAGATCACTTTACAGCCCAACACCAGCGCTGAGATACATCCGCCTCTCAGCAGTCATATTTCACCGTCAGAGAAACTCTTCCTGCTCTCAGATTAACGATCGATACCACAAAAAAAAAGGCACTGGAAATGTTTCTTTGCACTACGCCGACTTTTAATGATAATTAAGGATATGAAGTCGTTCTTTGACATTTTTACTAAAACATTCTGATGTGTTTGGGAAGTGATTTGTTTTAGTTGTATCGTCTGGTTGTATTTATTTCTAAGTGAGTAAGTTTTACCAATCTTTTGATACAAATAAGTAAATTTAAGTCACAAAAAGGTGAAGTTACTTAACTTTTTGGAGTAATCTACCTTTTGTGAAGAAATATATATTAATTTTACTTTTTTATTATTAAGTACGTGGAACAAAAAGTTCCATTTACCTAATTTATTCAAGCCTATTTAGATTTCTGCTAAGCATAATTTCCAAGATGTAGATGATAAAAAATATAGAGAAATATATATTTGCATTCATGGTGTTTGAATTTACTTTAAAAATCTTTAGTGCAAACTGTGAGTTGTTTTTTTATTAAATTTTTTTTCTTAGTGTGAATCCGACACGTCAGTTTTTCAGTCATCTTCCTGCAAATCAGCTCTTTACTTCATCTCCTCTGGCTGTTCTCAGCACATCAGAGAGATCTGGGAGGAAAACATGAACATGGCGACCACTCTGATGAGCGCGCGGCTCCAGTTTCTCTCCCTGCCTCCGCTCCCATTCGGCTGGAGGAAACCGGGAGACTTCCTGTGAGAAATTTCCCATGAGGTTATCGCTGACTTCCGTCCTGAACGATGCGCGTGTCATCTTCGCCCTTTCTCGCATCTCTCTCTCCAATGTGATTCTGGGTGGATGGTATCAATTCAGAAACTCCAGAATTAAAGTCATGCCGACTGAGTGGCAGCAGCGGCTGCAAGTGTGTCAAAATATCCGCGAAGTACAAGAACTGCTATATTTGCATCAGCGCCTCTTAACCACTGAGCCTTTTTGACGTTTTGCCTTTTTTGGTGTGTTCAACGACAACTTGTTCACTGGATTGTCTGAATATCAAAACTCCAAAGTAATTTAGAGGGTTACTATTATGTAAAATTGAGATCTACATCAAGTTACAATATTATTATTCATCAAAAACATGCCTTGATTCTTTCATGCATGTTTGAGAAATCCTAAAGTCCCCTGCGCCAACCATTCAGCTGTGTGAAACACCTTTATGGATCATGACTGCAGTTTCCAAGCTTTCGTCTCACAGAGCAGCTCACCCCTGGGACTCCCCCAATCAGCTCCTTCAGACTAGCCAGCAGCAATTAGCAACCACCTGGTGGAACTGCGCGTGTGCTGCAGCGCTGGTAAAACATTAACCAGTTAACAGAGCAGCAATGTTGTAACCACTTCCTGTATTGCAGTGGTTCCCAAAGTGTGGGAGGGGGCAGTGCCATTACAGGGGGCGGGGCGGCACAGGAAGCCGTTTGGATGAATGAAAAAAAAAAGACTCTTTATAAAACAAAAGACAAAAAAAAAAAAAACTCAGGCTCTAAAATTCCCCATCATCTTTTTTTGTGTAAACCATCTGCCTCTGTGTCTGTATTTTCTCCGAGCGCAGCCAGAATGCTCTCATCTCAAAGCCAGCTTTGATCACTGGCTCTCTGGCCTACTTTTCCTCAACCGGAGTCTGCATGTGTACGTTCAGAAAAATCACAGCGCGTTATTAAGCACGTCATGGCTGTTTACGGGTTTCACTTTTCTATCAGACGAGCACGTTTGATGTGCCGCTCTCTTCGCGCCGGTTCACCTTCTGTGTGTGTGAGAGAGAGAGAGACACAGACGGAGGAATCTGGGTTCATCCAAGTTATGTGGACATGACCTGCCGGCTGCGCTCGTAACGTTTGGCAGCACAAACAACCGATCGCCTCTCACACCGGGACTGTGGGAGAAAGAGGAGCGTGTGAATTATTGAATGATCCATACGATGGAGCGCAGCGCGAGAGAATCCTCAGATGTGTGAAGGCGCGGTTTGAGAGTGCAGAGAGGCTGAGGAGGAGTGGGAGTGGCACACACGCATACAACACACACACACACACATGCGTGCAACACACTTGTGCGTCTCAGCGTTGGATGTTGCCATTCTGTCAGAGGCTGGATGCACACGAGCAGCTGGGTGTCAGCTCAAAGACGCTCGACTGATTTGAATGCGCTTGTGTGTGTTTTTCCTCTTCTTTCTTTTCTGGATCTGCATGTTTAATAAGAGCTCTTGTAGGAATGGTGTCAGTAGGTCTGTAGCTCAAACAGGCAACAACTTGGTGTGTTTGGAAAGGTGGAATCGTCAGGAATGGTTTGAACGGCGGGATTCAGGAATGCCTTGCCGACTTCCACTCAAGCCGGTGACCGCGGATGTGAAGTTACCAAGGAGTCAAGATGCTGTAGACGCACTTTAGGAACAGCCCCGGCATGGGGAACAGCATCCAGAGGAAGAAGAAGAAGAGCGCGCTCACCGAAGAGGGTTCTCCATCGGTGACCCCGAGTCCCAAGCGGCAAAAAGCTGCAAGCTTTCGTCTGCTGGGACGTGTGGACAGACAGACTCCAGGTAGGAGGACAGCAGAAAGAAAGGAGGTGTTGGTCATCTACAAAACAGCTTTTTTTTTTAAATAAAATGAAAGAGACGAGGGTGAAGTCATCTTATGTAGTTTGTTGTGTCTGTTGGTGTTTGTGTGGTTGGTCATGCTGTAAGCTCTTTTTGGTGACTTTATTCCCATGCTGACTCCATCTTAGTCAGCTTCAAGCATCCCTGCTTATTGCACAGGCGTACAAAAGAATGTGTGTGTTAGCAAAAGTGGATTTTTTCCCCCCTCCTCTTTCCCTGTGTTTTGGTCCGCTGGTTTGGACTTCTTGCTGACAAATAACTAGTCGAGCATTTTGCAGACCGAGTCCGACCACATCCTCTTCCTTCCTGGTGCTAACACAGTCTGCTGGACTCACTCTCAGTGCCAATAATGGAAATATTTTTTTCCCCTGACTGTGCGGAATGCCGTACCTGCTATGGAAAACTGATCCTTGTCTCTGTTAATTGTTCCCGAAGCGACAAAAAAGAACAAACACCACCTGACGAACTGGTTGGACACAATCGCACATTGACAGGCATGCAAAGATTATGAGATAATGCTCAGCGATGTGAATTGTTTTTTGCACTCAGGTTCTGCTGACGTAACCAGTTTCTCAGAAGTGGATTTCCATTTCTCGCTTCTCAGTTTGAAGGTGGTGGACATTGTCTGTTTTATTTAGGGCTGTCCAGGGTTTGGCATGTTTTTACTGCATCCTTCAAAAAGCACACCGAACGATATAGACGCGTCTCTTATAGAAATGCTGCTTTAAAATCCTTCTTAGAGTTTTCCATGTAATTGTGGACCACACAAAAATATGCACAAATTACTAAAGTTTTTTTGTGCTGCTGTAACCATTAAACAATCTCTCCTCCAGTTCAATTTTATCACTGGAGACACATTGTTGATGTTACCATTATAAAGTAACTTGCAATTAAATAATGGAAAAGATCAATGTGATTTTCACAGTCGGCAGTGTTGTTGTTAGCAACTGCTGAAAGTACCTAAAACAATTACTTTCAATCAAAGTCAAAGATGTTAAAGTCAAATACACAGAGGGCCAAAAAACCAAATTTGCTACAAGCCGAGGGCCGGACTGGTTCAACGTTTATTAAAATATATTGAAATGATTGCACATAGCCTATTGAACCAAGACCTAAAAGTGTATATTATTAAATAATTAGATGAATAAAGCAATATTTTGTTATGGCTCTGTCAGTAATTTCAAGAGAAAACATTTTCAACAGGCAAACAGCAAAAAATTTTTATTGTTTTGAAAAACAAAATATGTTTCTTAATGTCAAGATAAATAGGTAAATTAAGGTGCATTATAAACTGAAAATATCATCTGGGGGCCACAGATGATTAATTCCCTTGACTTTGTCACATTTGCCATAGCTGTTGCTTCCAGTCTTCAAGCAACTGGACTGACACCGTTTTGCAAATACACCATGCAGCTGTTTCAAATCTATTTCCCATCCACTCTGCACAAGGTCCCTCACATGTCCCTTATTTTCTCTTTGCAAAGATAAGACTTCCAACAATCTGTCTAATAAAACGGTACTACTGCAATGCTGAATTATCACTGGATATCCTTGAAATACCATCCCTTCTCTGGCTTTTCACTCCCTTTCCACTCCTCTCTTCTTGCCTCGCTCAGTGACGCTATCTCCTTGACCTTCGATCGCTGCCTAACGGGCTTATCTCCCAGCGTTTGAAAGGTGAGATATTTGGATGCGAACGCACTACGACTTGCGCTCCTTCAAAAGAAAGCTGTTGACAGAATTAGGGAGGGAGGACGGAAACGAGAGCAGAGATTACAACGGCGAGGGAAGACGAGAAGAGAATGCGTATAGTCTTATGTCTAATCCGCCTGTTGACGTCCCCGCCATTTTAATTTCAGCTGCCTTGTTCGGAAGGAGTGGTATTCCACATGTCATTTTCCTTGCTGGGGAAAGCTCGCCTGAGCCGTTTGATATCTGCGAGCGTGGCGAAGACGCTCTCCGCTCCCTTCGTGGTCCTCCCTTTGAAGATCCCGTTCAATGTGTGTCACTGTCAAAGTCAGGGACTCCCACCCGAGCAGCTTAGGCAACACACAGTAAAATAAGGAGAGGATGACTTTTCATCTCTTCTGTCTTGTCCTCCCACCATCTTATCCTCCAACACTAATCGGCTGTGTTGAGCTCATGCTTCTCATTTAACTCTTATGGACTTGAATCTACAGAAGCATCTCAGTCAAAGGTCTTACCTACAATACAAAACATACTTGTTTTGTATGGTGTTGACATTTTGAGTAAAGTACAATTTAGTTTGGCATTCTGTCCTCAATGTCACATCAAGGGACTCCACTGGATGGCTCATACCAGATTTATATTTTCTGACGGACGTCACCAGGCAGCAGGGCCGTGCAGAGACCTTTGGAGGGCCAGGGGCTCAAAGTTACAAAAGGGCACACAGCAGTAGCAGACACGTCTGGAAGTGTCAGAGCAACATTGCAATTGACATATTGATGAACCGAGCAGATATTTGGGACTTACACGCCTACATTCTCGCCTAAAAACATTGTTTCCAAATCACGTTGTGTCATTTAAATCAGGAGGAGCGCGACAGATGAAACATGCATGTTGTCGGTTAAGATACGGTACAACACACATCTTCAGGCTGACGTCTGGCCACACGTTTCCTCTTTTTATTCTCCTCATAACAAATATAGCAGCCGGGTCTCTGATATTTGTAAGGTTCTGGTAGATCTGCGAAATGGACGGATTTCTTTTTACCAGAAGTTGAGTGGTCAGTAAATGATGTTCACTATCTTCCCCAGCTGGGGACGTGTCCTCTTTCAGATGAGAGAAATCGTCTTCTAATCCCTTTTTCGTCGAAGCAGATGTTGTCACACAGTCCTTCTCTGCTACAGTCATCTCTTTCAGAGTGTGGTCGTCTTGAGTTTTCCCCGGGAGGGAGGTTTGTTTTCCGGCTGGAGGAGGATTAAAAAGGTAGTCATCGAAGACATTGTATTCGCAGTCGTCCTGATAGCTACTTGTTTCAAACTTGATGCGAGGCCAACGGACACACAGAGAAAAAATTTTAACTGTTTTTTTTTTAAACTAGGGGATGCCCCTAGTGCCTGCCAGGCGGTGTCGTGTGTCTTTCGTGTGCATCTTCAGGTAATGTAAGATATGTAACTATCGATGTCATTCAGATGGCAACAACAGGTGCTTATGACAATAATTTGATCATTTGGCGCAGTGGCTAAAAGACGGAGGCGTAATGATGGAGCCACATCCTCCGGCGACCTTTGCATTGCAAAAATGTTCAGCATAGGTCATGGCTGAGTTGAGAGAGCACAAGTAGAGCAAGCCTATTGTCCGACAAGGCGTCGGTAGAGAATAATGAATCTGAAAGAACTTTTAAAGAAATGCCAATAAATGTGTTAGAACACAATTTGTGCAGAAGTACCATATTTTAAGGAGTATGTATTTCTGTTTACATTTACATCTCATTCCAAAATGGTGACTGGAAAAATCATTGATAATCAATGAAAAGCTATTGGTTGGAATTTCAGCAGTAACACTCTTTGCATAGTCGCTAACCATTCGTTTGCTTGTTTCCTCTGGTGTTTTAGGGATTCATCGTTAGTGATGAACTCCAAGTGTTTGTTGTTGGAGGGCTTTCCTGCCATCACCCTAATCTTTAGCTCTTATCACAGATTTTACATCGCATTCAAGTTGGGACTCCAGAATCTTAATATTACTTGCAAGAAGACGAAACCTGTTGAAAACCAAATACTTTTGAGCTTAACTGTGTCTTCAACAGAATAATCTTGTTGTAGGAAATGGAAGAAATTTGACAGGATTTTTTTTACATTTTTTTATCATTATTAAATGGTCAGGAGTTTTAACGTACAGCCCTAGAGGATTGACTCTCTTTGTGTTGATCCACCGAGTCGCTGGTGTAAAAGCCACGACGTTCCTCATGGGATTACACTTGTTCATTCATTCCCTCGCATGGCCGGTTACAGCCTGTCCTAAATCAAAATTTTGAACTTGTCAATGAAAAATAATTTTCTGCGGTGTGCTGCATCTTGCTGTAGAATAATAAAGCTTCTCAGGGAATACGGTTTTGTAGGAGAGGTGCAATGTTTAGGTTTAGGACGCAGGTGTGAAAGTGGCATTCCTGTGTGGCTGGACTTAAGGTTTCCCAGCAGAACATTACCTCTACGCATCAGATAACCTTTGTTTTCAAAACTCTCGACTGAAATAGTTGAGGACATGCATTAACACAGCTGTCAATTGATCACATGATGGGTTCTGCTGACATTTAGACCCTGAACTCATTTTTTTATCAGTTTTTTTTTCTCCCTGCTTCAGTGGATGGATATATTTAGTACCATGCTGAATGTAACAATTGCAATAAAGTCACTACAGCTTCATCGTTGTTGCAAATTTGCTTATTTACCAGTTAAACTGTGCAGATTAATTGCAGTTATAACAAGGGGAAAATAAACCCTTGAAATTAACCAAGCATGTTAGCTAGAAATTAAACCCTCTGTATTTACTTTTTTTTTTTTTTTACATAAAATCGAGTTTTTCATTTGTCATTTGGACCATGACAATCAGCAAAAAAAAGAAAGAAAAAGAGACTTCACTCTGACAATATGGAATAACATGCACCAGGTTTTCTAAGGTGGACTCCGAGTGCAACCAGCAGCATCAGCTAGCTCGACTTAGCTTGGAGACATGGCAATAGTTTGCCTTTTGTGAAGGTGCAGACATTTAACATCTGTTCAATCAGTGTTGTAATAAATGACTAACACCAACTTAGAGCTGTCACATCTGTTTAGCTGTTAGCTGGGTACCTGTTAGCTCGGTCGCTGCTAGCTGGGTACCTGTTAGCTTGGTCGCTGTTAGCTGGGTACCTTTCATCTTGGTCGCTGCTAGCTGGGTACCTGTTAGCTCAGTAGCTGGGTACTTGTTAGCTTGGTCGCAGT